ATGGGGGTGATGCATAACACTATCTTCCGTCCCATTCAGGGGTCTGATTCCCAGCGCATTTATAGGCGTCACCGGATTTTTAAACATGATAATAGATAACGTGATAACCACTATCCTCTTGGAAGCGCTACACACGGCATAGGTCAATGGCGTGACCAGTGATAACACTGTGAATGCGATCACATTTAGCAAAAAAGTGGCCAAACCGTCGACGAATAGTAGCGTCGCCACAAACCATCCATCCATTGTTGGCGTACTCTCTCGGCTGTGGAGGACGGCGTGCGAGTCGTGCCAAACCCACATCGGAATGGCCATCATTAGCGCCAATCAGGCCAACAGGTGAAGCAGTGCCAAGTAGTGTATAGATGTTTCGCGTAATACCTGTTAGTTATATCAATTAAAATATATTAGCACAAAAAAGTCGCATTTTATTCGTCTGGCCAAAACGAGTGAACCTTTTTTGCGTAAATATTCTTTAAAGAGGCGACAATAATGGAGAAGAGGACCGACAATAGGCCAATCATATTGAACTCGAGTTTCGTAATCGTGGCGATCATTATACCGATCAATATTGGAGCCAACGATAGGTATATCTGTGTTCGCAATGAAGTAAATGTTAAAATTAAATATCACTTGTAATCTAGAATTACATGTAAAAATAACACATACTTTAGTCGTTTGTTTCTCTCCTAATATCACTCGCGACAGAATGACCACAAAGAAAGGCATCGATGCCTTCACTGCGAACAACAAAAAACACAAATATAATTATCATTAAAATCAACCATATAGTCAACAGATTGTTCAAAAGGTGGTTAAGTGTGTTGGCAATGGTATGCCCTATACCTGTGTGAGCGTAAGACACGGGAACAGCCCATAGGATGACGTGTGAGGAGACGGAGGACAAGCACCGGCCGACCGCCAGAGGAATGATTATCTTCGCATAGTATGACCACTCAAGCCGTGGCTGTCGTTTATGGCCATCAGTATTGATCGCTGAGAGCGCGGCCGTTGAGTATACGGTTACGGATAACAAATCGACTATCGTTACGGTTATGGGATATGGGAAGGACTGGAGCTAGTGTTGCCAACTCGTAAAAGTTGAATAGTAGACATTTGCCTCAAAAGCACTAAAAAATAGTGGCAATAGTTTTTACTTAATATTTATGACTTATATGTCCGGCTATGTCAAATCTACTGCAAATTATAGATTTATACTTTAATACGTGCCAAAAATGATCAAGCGACTGAAATCATGTCTCATTATGAGCAGGCTATAGGACGGATTGTTTATGCTATTTTTAACTAATACAGTGCAACTTCTCTTGGGTAAACTTCTCTTGGATGAACACTTCCTCATAAGGTTTGAGATACTAAGTAAGTGGAAAATGTTTTTACATCT